GATGAATAAATTAAAACCTGGATACTGTTACCAGGGGAAAATAGTTTTTTCCTAGGTTTTCTAAATCTGGAAGTGGGTACTTTAGACATGATGCACACGTGCCTTAAGAAAACATCTCATTTTCAGTGGAAAAAAATTTGATGAATCAAAATCTTTGTCAACTTTAGTCTCCCTGGTAACCTGCAAACTGCTGAATGCAACAGTCTGAGAACTCCTGTCAATAAGAAGTAAATTCTGTGCTTAAGCATTCCCTTCTTTTTCACCATACACATTTGTCTCAATTTGCTTATTTGGAACCAAAATTTTGGATTTTCATCTTTCCTCTGTTGACATACAGAAATGCCACTGATTTTTGTATGCTGATTTTGTATCCTGCAACTTTACTGATTTTGTTTATCAGTCCTAATAGCTTTTTGGTGGAGTCTTTAGGTTTTTCCAAATACAAGATCTTATCATCTGCAAACAAGGATAAGTTGGCTTCTTCCTTTCTAATTTGGTTGCCCTTTATTTCCTTCTCTTGTCTGATTGCTCTAGCTAGGACTTCCAGTACTATAATGAATAAGAGTGGTAAAAGTGCGCATCCTTGTCATATTCCAGATCTAAGAGGAAAGGCTTTCAGTTTTTCCACAGGCAAACGTTTAAGAAGAACTGTTTTCATTTGCTGTTTTGATTTCCTTATCACACTGTCTTCGAAACCCATTTCAGTAGGGCTTCCGCTGCCACATACCATTAAAACTGCAGTTCCTAATCTTACCAAGAACCTTAATGTCACTAAATCAAATGTGTGGTTTTTGTTTTGTTTTATTTTTGAGACAAGGTCTCACTAAGTTGCCTAGGCTAGAGTGCAGTGGTGTGATCTCAGCTCACTGTAGGCTCAACCTCCCAGGCTCAAGAGATCCTCCCACATCAGCCTTCAGAGTAGCTGAGATTACAGATGTATGCCACCATACCTGGCTAATTTTTTTATTTTGTAGAGATAGGGTCTCACTGTGTTGTCTACGCTGGTCTCATACTCCTAGATTTAAGTGATCCTCTGGCTTCAGCCTCCCAAAGTGCTGGGATTATAGGTGTGAGCCATCATACCTGGCCTAATTATTTTCGTTAGTCCTCATCTTAGTGGCTCTTTTGGTAGCATACAACAGAGTTGGCTATGCAGTTCTTAATCATCCTTACTATGTACCTTGTAATAGTATAGACCACGTATGTGACAGCACAATTTAGCTTTTCTTCATCTTTTTAAAATTTTCTTTAAGTGTAACACACATATGCTCAATGAATTATCACAAAGTGAACACATTTGTGTAATTCCTACCCAAGTTAACAAATAGAACACTACTGGCACTCCAGAACCCACCTTTATATTCCTCCCAATCACTATTTGTGCCTCCTCCTCAAAAGTAACCACCATCCTAATATCTAATACCATAGATTAGTTTTAACTGTTTTGGAACTTCATATAAATGGAATCAGACAGTATGTACTATTTTGTGTCTGTTCTTCAGTAAACTGTTCGTTAAAATATCTGTTCAAGCCTCTTGCTCATTTTCTATGAGGAAGCATTTATATATACTAGATAAAAGCCCTTTATTCATTACAGGTGTTGCAAATATATTATTCTCCTCTGTGGTTTGCCTTTTCACTCTCTTAATGATGTATTGATTGATAGAATTCTTAATCTTAATATAGTCCAATGTATCAATTATTTCCATTATGAATAGCATTTTTTGTATTCAAGCCATGGTCCATGGGCTCCATGCAGCCCAGGATGATTTTGAATGCAGTCCAACAAAATTCTTAAACTTTCCTAAAACATTATGAGATTTTTGCACAAACCTTTTTTTTTTTATTTTTTTTTAAGCTCATCAGCTATTGTTAGTGTTAGTGCATTTTGGGTGGGACCCAAGACAATTCTTCTTCTGATGTGGCCCAGGGAAGCCAAAAGATTGGACACTCCTGACTTAAGAAATCTTTCTTTATCCAAGATCATGAAAATATCCTACATTATTTCTACAAGTTTTATTTTATTTTATTTTATATTTTTTATTTTGAGACAGAGTCTTGTTCTGTCTCTCAGGCTGGAGTGCAGTGGCGCGATCTCAGCTCACTGCAAGCTCCGCCTCCTGGGTTCATGCCATTCTCCGGCCTCAGCCTCCTGAGTAGCTGGGACTACAAGCACCTGCCACCACGCCCGGCTAATTTTTTGTATTTTTAGTAGAGATAAGGTTTCACCATATTGACCAGGCTGGTCTTGAACTCCTGACCTCATGATCTGCCCACCTCGGCCTCCCAAAGTGCTGGGATTACAGGCGTGAGCCACCATGCCTGGCTTATTATACTTTTTAAATAGATCTTGATACTAGTAGATTAAGTCTTCCCACCTTGTTTTCTTCTACTGTGGCTATACTTGGTCCATGGCATTTCAAGATGAATTTTAGAATCAACTTGCCAATTTTGTATGTGTATGTGGTGGTAAGGTTGGGGTACAGAAATTTTGAAATTCATTGAAATTTTGATCTTAAAGAGAACCGACATTATATTAAGTCCTCTAAACCATCATCATGGTTATATAGCCCTCAATTTATTTAAATCTTTTTTCCTTATATATTTTAAAGTTCTTTATGTAGAAGTCTTTCACATCTCTTATTAGATCTTTCCTCTAGGAATTTGTTATGATGCTATAATAAACAGGATATTTAAATTTTTTCATTTCCTGTTTATTGCTAGTATATAGAAATACAATCAATTTTTGTACACTAACTTACATTCTAGTTTCTGTGTGTATTCATACTATCTTGCTAACTACATAAAAAATGTTCTAAGAGCAGAAGTCTTATATCTCTTTTCACTCTTCACGACTGGCATAGAATGTTACATATACAGCAATTATTCAATGAAATACTTGAATATTAGCAGAAATACTAGCAGAAATTTTGGCTAAAGACTAATCACTTGGAGATAACAATTTAAAAAAAGAACAATGATCTAATTCAAGATTAGACTGGCATATAAGCAAGAATGGCTCTAGAAGTAGTGTTTTCCCCTACTTTTTAATATTTATGACGATAGCCTTTAGTGCGAATTTATGACATTTGCTCTGAAAACAATCATGGACTGTCATGAGTCAGAATGGCTACTGGACTTCTTGTTAAGCACAAAAGATAAGGACTGGCTCTAGACCAGACACCTCTGTCACCTTATCTTAGTTTGTCATTGGAGCCAGTACCTCGAACACTGCAGATATTTAACAATTTCCTATATAGTTCTCTCTTCTATAACATTGTAATAATTCTTGAGACTATAGTTGTACTTCCTCAAAATCTATTGACTTTTATGGGTCAAAGATTGAAGAGCGAAAGGTTCCTAGAGAACTAGTAAAGACAATAGTCAGGCTGGGCACGGTGGCTCACGCTTTATTCCCAGCACTTTGGGAAGCCAAGGCAGGCAAATCATCAGTGGTCGGGAGCTCGAAACAAGCCTGGCAAACATGGTGAAACCCCGTCTCTATTAAATATACAAAAATTACCAGGGCATGACGGTGCATGCCTGTAATCCCAGCTACTCGGGAGGCTGAGGCAGGAGAATTGCTTGAACCAAGTAGATGGAGGCTGCAGTGAGCCGAGATCGCGCCACTGCACTCCAGCCTGAGCAACGGAGCAAGACTCCGTCTCAAAAAAAAAAAAAGAAAAAAAGACAATAGTCAACATATCACTGCAAATAATGAAAGCAAAGGAACTGAAAGAAGGTGACTCTAAGCCAGTTCCATTTACATAGAAGTTGCATGTGAAATATAAACAGGCTATAAAATGGTTACACCCAGACAGGTTTTTAGTAGAATTTAGGCCCACACCTAAACTGGTTTCAACATATGTTAAAGAAGTACAGTGGAAATAAGATGAGAGAAAAATCTGACTTCTCCAAGGTGGCTCCTTGGAAAAAAGTGATTGCTAACTCAACTAATTTCTAAGAAAGCAACAACTATTACACAATAAAAAGAAAAATAAAAGATTCAAATTCTGCCCAAAAGGATTCAAATTCCAGCCAAAAGTTCTGGGTTCCACTTAGAAATGAAGAAAAAAGCAACCCCTTTCAAAATCCCAAATCAAACCCTGATTTTAGAAAACATAACCAAAATTATAGAATTATCCATACTGATCGCCATAGAGACAATAAATGATTCTACCTACTTATCAAATGTCAAAAGTCTAAGGTTCACTAAGCAAATAATAACACAACAATATAAAGCACCAAAACAATTCCTACCTTTCAAATTCCTTCATTATTCTATTTAATCTTAATTATGTTCTTTTAAAATTACCTGACCAGCCTGATTATTTAAATATCCATTATTAAAAATGAAAACAGTTAACAGAATACATTTGATAGGGAATGAGGGAAGAGCTAGCTGCTTTGATATTGACATTAACTCCTTTAGTATATAACAATGAAAGTAAGGTTTCTTTAGTAACCTTACTGGAAAAATGGAAGTAGGGTTTCTCCCTTTTGTCACCCACTCCAACCATAGTCCAGCATATGACTTTTGTGAGACATGCAAGATTAACTTAGCTGAATTAGCCTGATCTAATATTACATTGTACAAGATAACACCAGTAGCTATCTGAACAAGATACACCTAAACCACTTAAAACTAAGTTCCAACACATACTGCTCCCTTATGAACCTCAGTGCTTCAACAAGATCACCAAATACTCTCTCAAAATCTACAGCTGAGCAATAAACCCAGAAGCAACACATTATCCCATCTGCCTAGGACTAAACAGCAAGCTTACTAGTGCTCACATAAAGTCTACCTCCTTAAAATAACTTTGCTATCAGTTGGTTATAAAGAACAGAACTCTCTAATGACCTCTAATTCTCGCTTAATGTGCCATTGATTTCAACGCACTTAACAGGAAATGCAGGATGTTCTGTTTTACTCAGTAACAAGTCCATAAATCAAGGGATAAAGGCTAGGAATTTATTTCCTTTTCACAGTAGCTTACCCAGTTTAGTGGCGCCCTCTGGTGGGTACTCAGGAAACTGACCCTCGGAAGGGACGCTGACAGTTCTCCTCAGGCATCGCCCTTTGGTGGAATCTGTCTGCTGCTCCTGTCCCCCTTCCACAGGTATCTAGTTAATCAAAAGCAAAAGATGAAACTTAATAGTGAACTCACCATAACTACCTTCTGATTGAATAATGGTTTTAGTCAGTGAAGACAGGAGTGTGTAATAAAGAGTAAGGTAAGAGAAATATAGAAATAAAGCATATACAATGGTAAGGTATTACTAACCCCTTCGCAGGAAGTTTTCCTTTAAAAAGAGAACTGGGCCGAGTGCGGTGGCTCACGCCTGTAATCCCAGCACTTTGGGAGGCCAAGGTGGGTGGATAACGAGGTCAAAAGATCGAAATCATCCTGGCCAACATGGTGAAACCCCGTCTCTACTAAAAATACAAAAATTAGCTGGGCATGGTGGCGCCCACCTTCCGTCCCAGCTACTTCGGAGGCTGAGGCAGGAGAATTGCTTGAACCTGGGAGGCAGAGGTTGCAGTAAGCCGAGATCGCACCACTGCACTCCAGCCTGGCGACACAGCAAGACTACATCTCAAAAAAAAAAAAAGAAAAGAAAGAAAGAAAAAGAAAACTGAAACATCAGGAAAGGTGAGTATGTAAATTAGCAAACATGAAGTACGTACAAATCATATCCAGATGTGTACTTGCTCCTGGAGCCCAGAAAACAAAACACCCACACAAATAAAAGGTCCTTCTATATCAGAAACTGGTTCACAAGCTCCAATTTTGCCCAATGTTTAATAAAATAAATGGAAATAAAAGTTGATCAGAAAGATTTAGCCTCAAAATTACCTTTTTTTCTTTTATTTTTATTATACTGTAAGTTCTGGGGTACATGTGCACAACATACAGGTTTGTTACATATGTATACATGTGCCATGTTGGTGTGTCTCAAAATTATCTTAAAAGATTTCATTAAAGGTAGTAAAATCACCCAAATTTCCTTCAATTTTAGAATTGAGCACTTATACATAGTTAATAAATCACATTTTCAGTGGAAACTTGTATAGATACCAACATAAAATGGCATACTTTCTTCCAAAAGTAAGATTGTTTTTATAATCCTAATAAACATTTTTTCTGACATAATTTCAGAAACATATCAAGAGGTTATTTGCATATGTGGAATGAGAACTATGAATAGTAACAAAAAAAATCTCTAATGCCAATAACTATTTTAAAACTTACAAAGCAGGTTATCATTGTAGAGTAACGAGATGGTTCAAAGTTGTGGTTTTTTTGGTTTTTGGGTTTTTCTTTTTCTGGTAATGCTAAGTATTCAGTAATGAAATTTTACTAGTAGCTTTTATCAGAATTAAGAATTGTAACATCCTAAATAGTTTGACAAAGTATGTCATAATTAATCACAATTCCTAATTTATTATGGCTCTAATACTGTTTTCAATACATTTCAATAATGAAACACTGAGTTATTACATGTACAAGTCTAATTAATTTATGTGTGTGACATTATGAAGGAGACATTATTATTATCTCCTTTTAAGAGATGGGGAATGAATGATTTATTTCTCCAAATGATTATAATGGACACATATCACATCAATGGATCCAGTAAAAGTAGGACAGGTATAGGCTTAAGTGTACATGCCTTCTGCTTTGCTTCCGTAATCCAACTCCTGTGACTTGGGTCAAGGAGATGATGGCAAGGAAAACTCTCTCTGTTACTGAGAATCCGAGGAGCAAATTCCTAATGCCTCCATAAGCATTTAAAATTTTCATACTCCTTATAGGACCCCCAATTCTCCCATTTCCTTATTACCATAACTATGGTTATTCTTTGCACATTGAGAAATTGAAGGGCAGAAGAAATAAAAAATTACAAAAATAAGCCAAGGCCAAAAAATAGCATCAATAAAGACATGAACTCTTCCAAAAGTACTCTGTAATACAAAACTTCGCAAACAGTAATCTAAGTCATCTGTCCCTTACAGGATGGAAATTTTATTATCTCTACTTAAATAATTAAAAGAGTATCACTGATAGGTTTAAATGACTATCTCCTATTAAAAAAGGCAAAACATATCCTGTATCTTCCTTAAAAGTCAGAAGAATGAGAGTAAATTTGGAAAAAATAGTCTAGTTCTTTGAAGAAATAGTTGAATCTAAATAAACATAACTATTTGATAATAGTTCTAAAAATGCCTATTATCTTAAATAATAAAGGCCTAAACCATGCAGGAAAAAAGTAGTAGTTTCTTATGGTGTTTTAGGAGAAAATTTTTTTTCTATGCAAATTTATGAAGGCCACATCCAGAAAAAGTACAAATGACTTCTATGAGGACATACTTTGTCTCTGCTATATCAAAGGAGAGAATAAATACAATATATCAAACTTTTATTTGGGCCTAAAATTCATTCAATTATTTTCTCAAAGTTATAATGTAGACACTTTATTTCCCAGTATTAAAACTTAAAATATGATAAAAGGTTGTATTCAAAGTATCACTCTTAAAGGTTAGGGCATTTTACTCCTCATTCAGGATACAAAGAACATAATGTAACCTTTATTCTAAACTGCATTTTTCTTTTTTGAGACAGGGTCTCGCTGTGCCGCCCAGGCTGTAGTGCAGTGGTGTGATCTCGGCTCACTGCAAGCTCCACCTCCCGGGTTCACGCCATTCTCCTGCCTCAGCCTCCCGAGTAGCTGGGACTACAGGTGCCTGCCACCACGCCCGGCTAATTTTTTGTATTTTTTAGTATAGACGGGGTTTCACCATGTTAGCCAGGATGGTCTCAATCTCCTGACCTTGTGATCCACCTGCCTTGGTCTCCCAAAGTGCTGGGACTACAGGCGTGAGCCACCGCTTTCGGCCTAAACTGTATTTCTTAAGATTTTTTTTTTTTTTTTTTGAGATGGAGTCTTGCTCTTGTTGCTCAGGCTGGAGTGCAATGGCGCGATCTCAGCTCACTGCAACCTCCGCCTCCCAAGTTCAAGCGATTCTCCTGCCTCAGCCTCCTAGCACTTTGGGAGGCCGAGGTGGGTGGATCACCTGAGGTCAAGAGTTCAAGATCAGCCTGACCAACATGGTGAAACCCCGTCTCTACTAAACACAAAAAAAATCAGTTGGGCGTGGTGGCGCATGCCTGTAATCCCAGCTATTTGGGAGGCTGAGGCAGGAGAACTGCTTGAACCTGAGAGGTGGAGGATACAATGAGCTGAGACTGCACCACTGCACTCCTGCCTGGGCAACAAGAGCAGAACTCTGTCTCAAAAAAAAAAAAAAAAAAAAAAAAATTCAAGGCCAGGTACAGTGGGGCTCCCACCTGTAATCCCAGCACTTTGGGAGGCTGAGGTGGGAGAATCTCTTGAGGCCAAAAGTTCAAGACCCTGGGCAACAAAGTGAGATCCCCATCTCTAAAAAAATAAAAAATAAAAATTAGCCAGTTGTAGTGGCATGCACCTGTAGTCCCAGCTACTCGGGAGGCTGAGGCAAGAGGATCACTTAGGCACAGGAATCAAAGGCTGCCACGAGCTATGAACACATCACTGTACTCCAGCCTGCGTGACAGAGTGAGACCCTGTCTCTCAAAAACAAAGAAACAAAATCGAGCACTTTAATTTCATTCCATTTTAGAGGAAGAAAGTATAAGAGGAGTAAATGACATCTCAGGTATCTAAGATGTGTTAATAACAAAGCCAGACTAGATCTCTGGCTCCCTGTCCTCTTTGTTAATTCCAAACCGTTCATGAAAATCAAAAAGTAATGTGGCACATATTTTACACACACACACACACACACACACACACACACACTTATTTTCTGTAAAACTGCCTTTCATATTGTTTAGAATTGTATGGAAATTAATGTTGATTTCAATCTGAACTCATACAGATTAAACAAATAGTCAAGTACAAGAAATCAAGATTATGCTAACTAGCATCAGAAAGCTCTTATTTCTTTTCCTAAAGAATGCTAAAAAGATGCTCAGGATTACTATGTGCTTAAGAGGACTTTTCAGTACTTTAGAGAAAAAAAATTCCTCAACTTTCTTATTTCCTTAAGGTACTGGTTCTCAAAACAAGTGGTCTAGGTACCAGCAGCAACAGCATAACCCAGGAACTTGTTAGAAAACCACATTCTCACTCCCCACCCCAGACCTACTGCATCAGAAACTCAGGGTAGAGCTGGGCAATCTGTGTTTTAACAAGCCTCCAACTGATTCTGATGCTCACTAAGGTTGCGAACCACTGCCTTAAGGTGTTGTTTTCTCTCCTTCCTGTCATGGATAAGCATCTCAAAGCGTCATGTATAACAGATGTTCTCAACCTTGGCTGCAACTTATAATTATCTATGGGAACTTTAAAAAATACCAATGCTGTTCTCACTCATAAATGGGAGTTGAACAATGACGGACACAGAGAGGTGAACAACAGACACCACAGCCTGTTGGGGGGTGAGGGGTGATGAGAGGGAACTTAGAGGACGGGTCAATAGGTGCAGCAAACCACCATGGCACACATGTACCTATGTAACAAACCTGTACGTTCTGCACATGTATCCTGTTTTCATTTTTTTTTTTTAGGAGAAAAAAATATGCCAATGCTTAGACCACTCCAGACATTCTAGACATGCAAAGTTGAGAACCACTGATCTATACTCTGTATCTCCAATTCTAATTATTCACTTATTAGTCCCTGGCTACCAGTACTAAGTGTGAAGGTATAAATAAATCATTTGGCTTTAATAAACCTCAATTTCCACAACTTTGAGATATGATCTTTCCGGTATCTCAGCTGGATTCCTGGAGTGGTCAGGTTTTAAACAGATTTCTCACTGGCAGGGTCAGATCTCTGTCACTGCTCTGCATGACCACTAGTATCTGTATTCTGTTTTCAATACTTCAGTTTCTCTCTGGAAAACCTATATGGTCTTTCCCTGGATATGTGCACTCCAGCCTTTGGCCAAAGACTGGTATCCTACCCAGCAGGTTCCAGCCCTTTCAGATGCAAAATTCTGTTCTGTGCCTCCTCAGCTCAGTGAGTCTACTGTACTCTGGCTGACCTGGCCTCCAGATTACAGCACCACAGCTGGGAAA